GAGTAGTAAATGGTGTATTGACAGAACACGTACATTTTGTATTGAGTAGTAAATGGTGTATTGACAGAACACGTACATTTTATATTGAGTAATAAATGGTGTATTGACAGAACACGTACATTTTACATTGAGTAGTAAATGGTGTATTGACAGAACATGTACATTTTGTATTGAGTAGTAAATGGTGTATTGACAGAACACGTACATTTGATATTGAGTAGTAAATGGTGTATTGACAGAACATGCATATTTTGTATTTAGTAGAAAATGATGTATTGACGAAACACGTACATTTTGTATTGAGTAGTAAATGGTGTATTGACAGAACACGTACATTTTGTATTGAGTAGTAAATGGTCTATTGACAGAACACGTACATTTGATATTGAGTAGTAAATGGTGTGTTGAGTATAATTGATATAAGTTACTTTTATTGGTTCATTCCTATCCATCTCTCAGAACAGAAATTATAATATTTTTTCCGTACTCTCTGAAGTGAGGTACAAAAAAAAACGTTGTAATATTTCTTTGTAAAAACGGAAGTAAAATTCATGAACAGGATGTGACGACATTCATTTAGCATGCTTCCAGTTTCCTATTGATTTTTCACAAGTCTATATTAATTAATTATTTATCTGTTCTAAACAATAACACACTTTTGATACAGCTATTCCTTCGCCAAAGCTGTAAAAATCACAACCAATGAAACTTTCAACATTTGGGAACATTCTGAAAACAACGAAAATTTCAATATTAGAAAACATTCTACAACGAAACTTTCAATATGAGAGAACATTCTGAAAACAATGAAAGTTTCAATGTTATAGGACATTCTACAAACAATGAAACTTTCAATATTACAGAACATTCTACAAACAATGAAACTTTCAATATGAGAGAACATTCTGAAAACAATGAAAGTTTCAATATTATAAGGCATTCTGCAAACAGAAAAATTACAATATTATAAAACATTCTGCAAAAATGAAATTTTAATTATTTTAGGATATTCCGCAAACGTGAAAAATTCAACATTATAAAACATTCTGCAAACAATGAAACTTTCAATATTACAGAACATTCTACAAACAATGAAACTTTCAATATTACAATACATTCTACAAACAATGAAACTTTCAACAATATAGAACATTCTACAAACAATGAAACTTTCAACATTATAATACATTCTGCAAACAATGAAACTTTCAATATTACAGAACATTCTACAAACAATGAAACTTTCAACATTATAACACATTCTGCAAACAATGAAACTTTCAATATTACAGAACATTCTACAAACAATGAAACTTTCAACAACATAGAACATTCTACAAACAATGAAACTTTCAATATTATAATACATTCTACAAACGATGAAACTTTCAATATTATAATACATTCTACAAACAATGAAACTTTCAATACTACAGAACATTCTACAAACAATGAAACTTTCAATACTACAAAACATTCTACAAACAATGAAACTTTCAATATTACAGAACATTCTACAAACAATGAAACTTTCAACATTATAGTACATTCTACAAACAATGAAACTTTCAACATTATAATACATTCTACAAACAATGAAACGTTCAACAATATAGAACATTCTACAAACAATGAAGCTTTCAATATTACAGAACATTCTACAAACAATGAAACTTTCAACATTATAATACATTCTACAAACAATGAAACTTTCAATACTACAGAACATTCTACAAACAATGGAACGTTCAACATTATAGTACATTCTACAAACAATGAAACTTTCAACATTATAATACATTCTACAAACAATGAAACTTTCAATACTACAGAACATTCTACAAACAATGAAACTTTCAATACTACAGAACATTCTACAAACAATGAAACTTTCAACAATACAGAACATTCTACAAACAATGAAACTTTCAATATTACAGAACATTCAACAATTAGCTCACACACAAACAGCATTTATACCAACAGGCATGTGTAGGAAAGCTCAGAAAAACAGAAACATAACATATACATAGATTGAGATGCATCCTAAAATAAACAGAGTGATTTTACAAAACTCAGCACTTATGGAAACTAAATTCATTGTTAAACAAAGGTTCATGACTTATCTCGATGTTAGAAAACCGAATATAATAGACATGCGCAGTTATTTAAAAAGCAAATCGTGAGTACACTGAGTTATAAACCAGCAATTAAATTACCCTAAATAAACAGCCAGATTTACAGTAGGTTTATTATAACTTAAACCGAAATAAATACATTAGAAATAAACATCACATATCTAGTTCTTCATGATATAAAACCTTTGTTTCTGTTATTTAAACGACACATATCTAAATACAAACTGCTATAGCTTTTTATAATCACATTGTTTTAACAACACATTTCTAATTAACGTACTTAATTTTTCATGATTAAATTTTTATATTGTTTTAATGTAGCGTCCCAAATGTTTTCCTGCAATACAAGGCTGCTCTTTTATTTCAAACATCCCAACTCTTTGTAACATCGTTTTATTGATTAGTTAAAAATTTTTAATGATGTGAAATAACTTTTCTATTTATTACAAGAGTTCCTCGGCGTTTGGTCTTTCAATAGACACATTGGTTTCAGAATGTTTGTTTAAAATTTTTTAATTTGAGTTCAATGATGTAAATATGGAAGAAAAATGTGGCTTAATACCCTAAACAAGGCTTAAAAAAGAGGAGTTCAAATAAGCTTAAATTACAGAAAAATGTGGCTTAATACTCAAAACAAGGCTTAAAAAGAGGAGTTAAAATAAGCTTAACTTACAGAAAAATGTGGCTTAATACCCTAAACAAGGCTTAAAAAAAGGAGTTAAAATAAGCTTAACTTACAGAAAATTCTGGCTTAATACCCTAAACAAGGCTTGAAAAAAGGGGAGTTAAAATAAGCTTAACTTACAGAAAAATGTGGCTTAATACCCTAAACAAGGCTTAAAAAAAGGAGTTAAAATAAGCTTAACTTACAGAAAATTCTGGCTTAATACCCTAAACAAGGCTTAAAAAAAGAGGAATTAAAATAAGCTTAACTTACAGATACACGACGAATCAACTTCTCAGGCTTAACAAATGTTTATTTATTCACAGGAATCAACTATAAGAACACAAATGATCTGAATTAAGGATTATCATGATAATTATTAAGAACTTAGGATCAAAGTAAGCTATCTATGTAGCTCAGATATAAAAAAATTAAGACTTCATTATGATCATAACATATAAATGATCATCAAAATAACATATACGGTAAGATTAAGAGATAAGCTGGTAGTGGTATAATCAGCTGAACAGATTTATACATTGTTAAGAATTAAGACATAAGATATTACACAGAATGCATTAAATCATCAGCTTTCGTCTGTAACCCTAATAAAAATCACACGCAGTTTGCCCATCTTAAGAGCCTTATACTAGTCCTAAGTCCACACTTGCACATCCAATTGTGAAGAAGATCTGTAGCTTATGAAATATTCGAAACATCTCTAAAGCAAAGTCTCTCTCTCTTAATTCTTGAAGAATTTCTCAATAATGTGCCTTGGTTATGGTAGGTAGTTTGAAGAAAAATAAAATGTTACTGTTTCTTATTTGTAGAAGGTTTAAGAGGAAAGACCACAACATAATGAACTAATTCATCACAATACCTGAAAACTCTGACTTCACTTTTTTTGAAAAATGAAATGGTCTTTCCTTTGACTCCCGATCAACAATCAAATATCTTTTCTTGAATTATGAATAACATGAATGGATTGAAATAGTTAATTAAATTATCTCAAAATAAACCTTCATTTCGATGCAATATTGAAATTAGCTTGAATTCTTCATAACCCCTGAATAGTGGGTGACCCAACGGGTCACGGGTGGTCTAGCACAACTCTAATCTAAGCCTTTGTTTCATGACATATACTCTTTGAACTTTAACCTCTAGCTTCGAGCAGAGTGAAGGAGGATTGCTAATCTTCGAGCACCCCTGATTATTAATTATTTCTCCTGAAATAATTAAGTTTAAACCACAATAGCTGCCAGAAATATGATGATATATTCTTTGTTAGATCGGTACATTAAATTAGCTACAGTATTTAGTGGAATAAGTTTAGGTGTATAGCATGCTTTAACCAAAGTTATTGACAATAACAAAACACTTGAGAAACGATGACGCTTCCAGACCTATTATCCCCCGGTGGGACAGCGGGAAGTCTTACGAATTTACAACGATATAATCAGTGGTTCGATTCCCCTCGGTGGACACAGCAGATAGCCCGATGTGGCTTTGCTATACAAACACACACACACACACACACACCCAGAGCTATTAAAGCGTCCCTATGAACGTAAACGGGAAATATAGCAACACCAATAAAAATACATAGTATTAGAGAAATTGTGGTTAAATCACCAGAACAAACTGCTCTAGAAATAAGTAAGATGAGTGATGAGGGCATTAAACATAAGGTACAGTGACTGTAATGAGAAGGTAGTCAGTAATAAGGTTACTGTGATGGTATAATTATCGATGGTAAGGATAAGAAGGTTAAAGCACCAAGCTTAAAGAAGGTTATTATGACGATAAGTTCATCGATGGTAAGGATAAAAAGGTTAAAGCACCAAGTTTAAAGAAGGTTATTGTGACGATAGGTTCATCGATGGTAAGGATAAGAAGGTTAAGATACCAAGCTTAAAGAAGGTTATTGTGACGATAAGTTCATCGATGGTAAGGATAAGAAGGTTAAGGCACCAAGCTTAAAGAAGGTTATTGTGACGATAGGTTCATCGATGGTAAGGATAAGAAGGTTAAGGCACCAAGCTTAAAGAAGGTTATTGTGACGATAGGTTCATCGATGGTAAGGATAAGAAGGTTAAGGCACCAA